ATGTAAAGGTGTTTTAAACCCTTCCCACACTCTTGCAATATTTTAACCGATGTTTCTAACCTCTAAACGCTCTAAAAGAGCACAAAATGTCATGATCTCAGCTCTCTGCCTCCAGCCATGCCCACTTCTCCGCTCTGCGCAGAGATCAGCTGTAGGAGGAAGCTTTTCCCACAGCTGTGGGCTGCACACAGGTGCTAAATAATTTTAAATAATTTATTTTAAATTAAAAAAAAAAATCTATCAGTCAGCCAATTGTGTCATGTCCAATCTTACTTTGAAAAACCGCAATAAAGCGAGTCCGCGAAAAACGAACCGCGAAGTAGCGAGGAACTACTGTATATACATATATATGCAATATTCCTGATCTAATAATTTATTTAAGCTTACAATTTTCTTCTCTCATATTGACAGCATTTATCTTGTCTGGGGTCACAAGGTCAAACTGGGGTCATTTAAAGAGCCATCTACAACAGGTAAGATATTATCTGTTCATACTTTACAATAGAATCCAGCTCAAAAGCTGAACTATCTTTTTTAATGTAATGCAGTTTAGTTGTCTTTTGATTTTACAACTTGATTTATTAGCTAAAAAAAATAAAATTATTTATGTGAAGTCAACTAAAACCAAAACTTGATTTAAAAACATTTAAGCCCTAAACGTTGCTCAGACCCTAAAGATAGAAGTGGGTCAATTTTTCAGATACCAGAGGTTCAAAGAAGCTCTCATGATAAGCCTTACAGCAGGATGTCAAAGGGCAACCTTCTAAGTAATGTGGTTGATTTAGTAAAAAAAAAAAACTGAAGAATTTTCTGTGTAAATTCTGTTTTCATTGGATACGATCATATAACCACTCAATGTATGTTCCTTCTTGCAAGAAACAAGAGAGCTCCTAATTAAAACAAGTGGTATGAACGATTTAATTTTTCAAGAAGAGCGTTTTTCTGGACTGGGAATGAACAGGGAATGCAAGTAAACCTGGATGTTTTTGATGCAAGATATTCAAGTGGGTAGGAGTTAGTGTGTAAAAATTAAGCTAGTTTCTGTTTTTTGCTTGTCCAAGGCAGCACAGTAACAGATTCTGGAGAGTGGAGGGAGCAATTTGATACACAACCAGGCGCAAAGGCTGAGCTATAGAGGGTGGCCAGTGGTGGCCTTGGCCACCATAGATTAATCTTTGGCCAACCCAGTAATTGGAGGAAAGTATAATTTTAAGCAATAGAAAAACTAGAAAGCATAGTTTCATCAAATGATAGCGGTGGCTGCTCTATATATGGTGGTGGCCATCTTGGATTTTGAACTTGCAACCCAGTTTTTGATGGTGACCTTTGTTTACGCCTTGATGTAACCACACCAAAATGGAATTTGTCACCTTGCTTATTTTTCCAGGTTATCCAGTTCACAAGATGGGTGAAGTGATGGACAGAGGGATGGTATTTCCATTTCTCCCTCCTTGCTCCACGACGAGGGACAATTAGTAGAATCCTAGTTTATTTAAAAAAAAAAAAAAAATCTTAACACAAATGCACAAACACGTCTCTTATATTTAAAAAAAATGTTTGTAGGCTCAATCACCCAAGTAAAGAAACTGGTCCAGATGAAATGATTTAACCTTCTTAAGTCTCTTATTTTTTCATTCCTTCAACCTTTGTTTAAACAGGTTAATCCCATTGAGCCTCAGGGACTCATTTACAAGAGAGACCTGATTTCTTAACGAAGAGATTATTAGCAGCAGGAAGAACTAGGAAGGACAAAATGTATGTTCTTTTGTTCTTCTGAATGAATAAAATGTGTTTCTTGCATCTAACTCAAATATTATTTGAGTGTAAACGTGCACTCCTGTAGTAGCTTACATCAGCAGATGAATTGCTCCTATGTTTTGGCTGCAACAGTGATTTCATTGCTGTTCAGATTCGGTCATTGTCTCTTTGGCCACACACTTCCCACTTTCATAATAACACTTGCACACCAACATTCACAATTGCTTGAGGACTTTACAAAAAATAAAACCTAAACTGAAACTGCCTTGGCCTCCTGAGGCAACCTTCTATGAAACAAGCACACTCACTCAAAGCATGGCTCATTATGCATTTAGCCTCACTGAGGAAGTGAGAATGTCAGGCTCCTCGACTGTGAAGATGAGCACTGTAACTCTCAACCCTAAACTTTAACCTCCGCCACTCAGCTGTATGTATTATTAATGGCTGCCAAATTCCATACATGAAAGGCTGGCTTTGTGGGCTGGATGAAAGACCCTGTGTCTCCTCTCTCGTGGTCATCCATTTCCCTTCCTATCCGTTACTTTTCCCTGTTCTGCTCTCGGCCTTAGATTGATTTCTCATATTCATCCTCCATGTTTTCCACTTCAGTTAGTCTGAAATTAATTTCCAGCAATGTCAAGAAGAATTCAGTATGATGTTTGTCTGTCCAAGTGATGAAGAAACGAGCATTTTCCCATAAAAATAGAAAAAATTACAACAATCAGTTGTTTTGAAGATTTCTTGTTTGCTTTAGGCTATTTCCTGGAGGAAAATGGCACAAACACAACTTTTGCACCTTATGTCTAAGACGGTTTAAACTGGGTTGTGTCCAGAATGATCTACAAATTGTTGTGATGTAGATCTGCTGCCCTCCAATGAACGAAGTGCCTCACTGCAGAAACACAAGAACGTTCCTTTTTATGTCCTCCAAGAAAAAGTGAACGGAGTGCAGCTGCTTTAGAGACTTGCTCCTGTTGGGCTGTTAGACTGAGCTTTTGGCTTTTGACCCTGAGTGTCTTAGAATAAATTGCAGCCTTTCACTTCCTGTGGATGGCATTAATCTGGCCTCCAGTTCTAATGTAAAAAAACACAACGGTGTTATTTTTGATCAGGACATGTCTTTTAACATCACATTAAAACAAAAAGTTAGAACTGCCTTCTTCAACCTGTGTAATATCACTAAGATTAGAAACATCTGGTCTAAACATGAGGCCAAAAAACTGGTTCATGCATTTGTCACATTTAGGCGGGACTGTTTGTTATCTGGGTGTCCAAAATTGTTTTTTTTAATTTACCCTTTATTTATACAGGTAGTCTCATTGAGTTACGAGAACTCATTTTCAAGAGACCTGTTATTTTGGGAACAGATGGTGGAGGTTGAGGGCCTTGCTCATGGGCAGAGTGGGGCAAATGTTTCACCTTTTCCACCCATTTTGATGTTGTCAATCTGGGGAGTTGAACCTACGACTTTCCGATCACAGGCCCATCTCTAACCTCTGCGCCACCACTCCCCAATAAATGTGCTGCTGCCAGTCTTAACTGGAGTTAGTAGATAATATGTCCAGTTTTAGCATCTCTCCATTGGCTCCGTCAAATTCTGAAGAGAATTCAAAACCTTATTTTTAAACTACAAAGCCCTCAACAACCTAGCTCCATCTTATCTTAGATCTTATTTCTCCATATTTTTTCTAACAGAGCACTTCACTTTCAGATTGCAGGCTTACTTGTGGTTCCTAGTTTCCAAAAGTAGAACAGGAGGAAGATCTTTCAGTTATCAGGCTCCTCTCGTCTTGTGGAACCAACTTCCATCTTCTGTCCATGAGGCTGACACATTGTCAACTTTTAAGATTAGGCTTAAGGGTCAGTGGTCAGTGTACCTTTCGTTCAATTGTTTTTTTCATTGAGAATCAAAAAATGAAAAAACGACTTGTCATTTCTTTGTTCATTTATATGTGGGATACAAAAAATACAGTTTTCTGCATTTTTGACTTTAACCTCACATCAAAAATCAAACTTTGGAAAACTGTCCTGCGCACTTATTTGATTTTGATATTTGTTTTCTGTCAAATGTGTCAAACTAACTGACCCTTAAGTCTTTCCTTTTTGATAAATTTTATAGTTAGTGTTGACTTGGGTTTCCTGAGATATCCCTTAGCTGCTACAGACTTATACTGTTGGGAGGACAAATTGACCACATCGTCTCTCTGCTGCAGTCTTTACTTGCTCCACTCAACCCTTTTGTATTTCTATCATGGACACTTTTTTTTTTTTTTTACTTTCTTCCAATAGGGGGTATGCGTGCGTCTACACCTGGACCTGCCATTCTGTGTTCAGTTTATTTCTCCTTCCTGTCCTCTCAAACGCAGCGGGTCAAAGCAGATTGCCTCATGTTCTGCTGGAGGGTTCTTCCTGTTAAAAGTATCCTTTCCACTGTCGCCATTGTGCTTGCTCAGGATGGTAGACCTCGATGAAGTAAAGATTCTTTAGGTAACGTTTAGTAACTGGCTTTTTTTAATGTATGTGAATGTTTATCTACAGAGCAGAGTGAATAGAAATTAAAATTATGCATCTAAAAATAAAAAAGTTTGAACAAAGTATAAATCTGAACTCCACTGTTTCCAAAAACATTACAAAATACAACGCATGAAAAATCTGCAGCATTTCTGTGTCTTTATGTAAACTTCCCATCAAGTAATTTTAAAATGGATTTGGAAAGTACTGCTTCTCAAAAGGGATTCTGTGCTGCAGCAGTGATTAATGAGCTCTTTATACCAGCAGGAGGCAGAATATAAGCAGTGGTCCCCAATCTTTTTTGCACCATGGACCAGTTCAGACAATATTTTCACAGATGGGGTGGGTGAAGTCCTCCCCTCCCCCAGAAAATTTTGAAAAAAAGATACTATTTCCTACATTTTAGGGTATTTTACAAAAGTTTATTACAATAGATTAAACAGGTCCTGGAACATAAAGCGTTTCCACTGAAAATGGTTGAATTTATGTTTGTGGTCAAAATGAAAATTTTTTTTTTTCAACTCAAGCCACTGGACTGAAATGCTAAACCAAAAACTTTATTTAGAGTTAATCTGGTTAAAAATGCACAAACGGAATTAGTTAGATAAAACAGATAATTTGTAGATCATTGTTGAGAACACTGATTTTGACACTGATTGATGTCGAACTCCACTGAATAAGACTCGCCCTCCTTCTTGTCTATCCCAACAGCTGCATCTGCAAAGAACAAAGACAGTAGTTAGAAGAAACATCTGCAGCGTGTGGGACTGTCAGTTCGATCTGTTCCAATCAAGCTTTGCAGAACAAGTTCACACACACAGGTGGTGAAGCACAGCGGCACTCAATAAACTGGACTGGATTTAAGCAGATTATTTAAAACGTGCTTTTTGTGGAGAGGCTCCCACATCGATGCACCAGGAGCTGGGAGTTTGAAAGGCAGATGTCCTTTAGGTCGAGTTATGTGGAGAATTCCTGAGCGCACTGAGCTCCATGTGGAAGAACCATGAAAAATGCAGACCGTGAGACAAGCTAAATGTATAAAAGCTAAATTTTGCCACAGAAAAAGAAAACTTAAAAAACAAATAGCAATTTGAACAAATGTACTGTGGAGTTTACCATCGCATGACTTTTACATTTTTATTATCTTATATTAAAACTGTAATGAGAAAATAAAACAGGGCTTTAGACATGCCATGGTGCTTTTGAAGATTTCTGTCAACTCATCATTTCTGCATGTAATAATAAAAAAAAAAAATAGTTGACAAAAAATAAAAATAAACCCTCTGTGTGACAAAAACGTGCATGTGGAACAAGCTAAAGCCACATTTCAACTCTTGGGAGTCGGGGTAAAAAGTGATTTGCATGAGAGTTGAACTCACAAATACAGCTTAAAAGTTTGAAACTTCACTTTTCAGTTTGAACTGAGAATACTCCTTTTTCAATTCAGGGCCCTCAACAGAAACATATATATAACTCCAGTTAAAACTGGCAGCAGCATTTTGGATTAAGTGAAGATTTTTAAAAGTATTTGGACACCCAGATAATAAACCAGTGCAATAGTCCAGTCTAGACGTGACAAATGCATGAACCAGTTTTTCTGCGTAAGTTTTAGACGTTTCTAATTTTAGTGATATTTCGCAGGTGGAAGAAGACAGTTCTAGTAACGTTTTTAATGTGGGGGATGAAAGACATGTCCTGATCAAAACAACATTAAGATTTTTAACATTAGAGCTGGAGGCCAGATTAATGACATCATCCAAGGAGGGTGAAAGACCGAAAAATGTATTTGTAAGACGCTCAGGTCCAAAAACTAAAACCACAGTCTTGTTTATATTCAAAAGGAGAAAATTTAGGGTCATCCAGGTTTTTATGTCTTTAAGACATGCTTGTAGTCTAAGAAGCTGATTGAGTTCATTGGGAAGAAGCAAAATCTCTTCAAAAATGACACGTTAAGTTGCAATAGTAAAAAACAAACAAGTTCTAATTGCAGTCATGCAGACCATTCTATCTAGTCTACAAAATGGTAGCACTTAGTCTGCTGCAGGTAAATACTTACTCCTGATAACAACAGCACCCCATTAAAAATAAATAATCTGAACTTTGCTCTTAGTGTGTGGCTTACCTGGGATGTTTCCAAGGGCAGAGTTATCAAAGAACTGTTTGGGACGGCTCCTGGACAGCAGCTCTGAGCCTTCACTTGTATCAAAGAAACTGCTTTTGGGAACCAAGAACTTTGGCGAGTCCGAGGCCTTTCGGAGAGTCGCCAAATCCCTTTTGGGGGAGTCTAGCAATTTATTAGCAGGAAGGAGAAATTTTTTGGGAGCGTGAAGGACGGTGTCAGAGTCTGCCATTGTGGAGAAGCCCCTCTTTGTGGGAGTAGAGGGTGAGGCCATCTTGTCGCCCTCAGCTTTGCTCTTCCCCTTCAGCTTGATGGCTCTGTTCTTCCACTTGCTGATGTCTGCCTGCTGACTGGACATCAAGCTGAGGAGACACAGATCAGAGCTGCTGCTGAACAATTTCATCATCTCCCTCTCTGCATCTTTTCATTTCATCTCAAACTGCATTTGCTTTCAGGTGTGTTTAGTTTGAAGTTGAATAAATCCATCAAGCACAGAGCTGACAAAATCTACAGGCCCTTTGGAATGATCAACTTTTAGATTTACTGGTTATTGATCAGACTTTTCATATTTAAGATTTAAAAACAAAACTATTTTAGCCGATCATGCAAAAATACTGGACTTGAATACGTCAATTCCTTAGTGTGGATTAGGACAGGGTTCCCAGCATTTTATGAAAACAAAAACCCCAGAGCTTCCTTGAGTAAATAATGAAATTTCAGTCACACAAAATGATCAGAATTTAGTGGTGGGCAAAAGATTAACTGTAGCTGTGAGTGACTTAACGCTCGACCATTATGAAAGGAGATACAAATTGGTGTCATTTTTTTTAAAGTAACTGAGCCACGTAGTACGGATACTGTAGCAGCAGAACATAGACTCAGTGTTACTAGAATACTAGCATTAATACATGTACATGCCAAAATCACAGATCATCTTTTAATCAGCAGATCAGTGTTCAAAGTGCCCAAATCTTTTCTGAAATTCCCATCCTGGGAAATGTGAAAGTCAATTTTCAGGTTTTCCCTGATTTCCAGTCATGGGGAGCCCTGTACGAGTTGTGTGTGAATCTTTCACTTTGGCAAACACGAACCAAAACAACCCAAAATAATTTTTTTAGCACATGAAATATTGGCGCTGATATGACACCTGAAATCAGAGTGGAAAATATTGTGATATTTAAAATTATTCTAAAAAAGAAAACAAGAAAAAAAGAGTGAAATGTTTAACTACCATAATTGCCAGTGTACAAGCCTCTACTTTCCCCCCCCCCCTCACACTTTGTACCCTGCTGTTTATATGCAGGAGCATCATATTTATGTTTTTTTGTTTTTTTTAAATAATTTTCAAGTTTTTTTTAATATATATATTTTACTTTGACAAATTTCCTGCTGTTTCTCTGTAACGTCCTGTCAATGACTAACATTTTCCTTTGACAGAGCTGGGAGGTGGGGGATCCCAGCATCCCGCCACTCTAGTGGGGGAAGGCGTTTGTGACAGAATGAATGCCGTCAGGTATCCAAATGTACGAAGACTCTTGCTCAGGGTTTCAAATTCCCTACCATAACTCCACCTAGGCCTGTCGTGATAAACAATAAATCAATTAATCGCATGATAAATGAAAATTATTAACCTCATTTTCATTTATCAGCTTTATAATTTCTTCGTGTCTTTCTACTGAAGACACTGGATGACAAAAGGCTCAGCTCTGATGCTTTTCACTGACCCCTCCCTTTCTCTTTAAAATCAGTTTTAACCGTCCAAAATAACGTTTTTGGATGGTTAAAAGCAGCTAAGCTGAGAAGCTAAGCTTTGAGCTAAGCGAATAGGCGGAGCGCGGGGGGGGGGGGGGGGGGGGGGAGAAGACTCGATTTTGTCATATCTCCAAGGTTCATGGTTGAAAACCGTGCCTTTGTATAAAATACAATTACGTCAAATTTATTTAGAAAAGTATATTTAAAAACAGCAGTTGTTACCAATACTGTTTAACAATGAAAATAAATGGTATTAATTTACCGTAATGAATATTTACTGTATTTTAATGATACTATTTGACTTCTGGTCCACATGACCTCAATAAGAATTCTGGGTAATATTTACGATAAATAATTTTTAAATAATTTTGGTTACGTAGGTGTTTGGCACTGTTCTGTCCAGTGACTACGCTTAGAGAGTTCTAGTGTTCATTTTGAAAGTATAATGGTTGTAACCATGAGTAGACCATAACCAGCGAAGCTTCATACAGACTTGCTATAGTCTGTGAAACGCCATCTGGTGGCTGATTCTTGTACTATAACAATAAAGCTGCACATTGTTGGAGCAGGATGGGCATAGTTCCTAATGAACGGTGGATGCACGCAGCTACATAACCGGAGCGTCTTATTTAATGTACAAAATTAATATGTGCAGCTTAGAGACAGGTGTGTTCTGTAGTCTGAGAAATACGGTAGTTGATTTTACCTTTCTAGCTCGGTGATTTTCAGCTGAAGCTGTCGGACTTTCTCTTCCAGCTTGGTCTTTTCCAGCCCGATGCTGCTCTCGATCACTACACCTCTGGGATTGGTCAGTTTGTCATAAAGGTCCTTACCCTGCAGAACTAAAGTCAATATAAGAACAACATTAATGCTTTCGGCCTTTTCAGTTTTGGACTCTTTAAAGCATTTCATTCCAAACTGTATAAAAAAATAGCTAAATGACAAACAGTACATCCAAAGGACACTGAAGTTTTATTTGTGTTGCTCATAATGTAATTCTGACATTTTATGACAACAAATGAACCTTATTCTACACTAGGGCTGGTCGATATGGACCAAAATTAATATCATTTTCTGTTCTCACAGTTCCTCTCATAAGGCACAGCACGGCCAAATGAGTTCTGAACCGTGGTTTGTTTCAGAGGAGGATAAAAAAAATAAATAAAAAAACCACTCAGACCTGCAGCTTCACACATGCTCATTCTCCACTCCTCTGTTTTAAATGATGAAAAAGATTTCTAGTTCTGACCTTTCGTCGGGACTGTTTTCAGCAGTCTACAGAAATCATCTTTTGCCCCTCATCTGACAATTTCAATTCAAACCATCTCCAAAAGAACAGTCATTGTTTTTCATTTTGTTCAGCTGCTCTTCATATATCTTCCGTGTTTACTTGTGCTAAGAGTCTCCTCTCCCGCCCGTCCACCTCTTAGAAGCAGGAAGGAGGGGAGCGCAGCTGAGGGGCTGGGTTTGTGTTCAAGGAGGGAGAAGGAGGGGGCCACGTGGGAGAAAAAAAGACAGCAGGATTTCCAACAAAAATATGTTTTATATTGATATAGTCTCAACTTATATCACAAAAAAAAATTTATATTGATATTTTTAAACTATCGAGATATCGCCCAGCTCTAATCTACACAATAGTATTTCCATTTGGCCAAAACTAAAAATTCCTAAACCCTACAGAGTGGAGAGTTGATTTTCCTGCAAAAATGCAGTGTGAATTTTTATTGCTGAAGAACTTGCTGAAAAACAGCTGAAATTAACTAAAAACATGCTGAAATGTAGCTGAAGTTAAAGAAAAGGCCTAAACTAGCAGAAGAAAGCAGGAAAAACACATTTGATGAATTTACACATCATCACAATAGTGATGATAGTGTGAATGCTTAATAAGTATTCACATTAGGCATTAGCAATGTCATACATTTAGTTCTTCAGTAAAATGTAGAAAAGTGCAAACACAGTCAGCAACTAAAAGTATGATTAGTTTTTGTGACGTCTTTCTAAAGATAATAGTTAAGATGAAAGAAACAGTGAAGTTCAGGCTTTAAACTGTTGATCTTTTCAGCCTAAAAAAATGTGCTCACTTCACGGTGCAAATAACAAAACTTGTGAAATTACTTGTTTATTTTTTAAAGACAAAGCCACAGGCACATCAGACTTACAGGATTCCTCTCCTTGCTGCTGTAACTTTCTCAGAGCTTCTTTCGTCTTCCTCAGAGAGTCTTCCTTCTCGTTCAACATGAACTTCATCCTCTGGATCCTGACAGGAACAGAACTCTTAGGCAGTGCTTTTTTATCATTTTTATTTTGCTTTCTGGTTAATTTTGGCCTTGAAGGGAGGACCATCTTGGGAGGTTATTGTCCAGGAATGTGTAAAAACAAATTGAAAAACTGCAGAACAGGAAATAAATCTTTCAACAAGTTCTGTGCTCTTACTCTTGCTGATGTTCGTCTGTAATTGAAGAGAGCTTCAGCTCCGTTTGGAACAGCTTGTTGTGGAGATTTTCCAGCTCCACGGCACTGGGGGATTCTTTTTTCTAAACCAGGACAAATAAATAAATCATTACAACAGCTCAGATCAAAGTGAAAGGTCTATGGAACATTTTTTTTCTCTTTTGAAACATTAAAGGCTGTCAATCATTTCATTATTTTTCTCTTGGCCTTTGATTTGAGCAGAGACTGAAGATGGAGCTGATGTTTTTCATGATGTTCTGGATTTTGTTTCCATTTATTCTTAATGTCTTAAGTTTGAATGCTTTTACTGTCTTATTTTAACATTTCTTTTGAATTAAAGTGAAACACTTTGATCAACCTGAGTTTTTAATACATTAAAATAAATAACTCAACCCAAACGCACTGTTTTGAAAAGAAATAAATACCAGTACATACTTCAGACTCTCGTAGTTTACTCTTCAGGGTAGTGATTGAGTCGTCCTTCTCTTGGACGATTGCCCGTGTGTCCTGCAGTTCTGTCTGTAAGAGCTGAGTGGCCTGCTTGTGCTGAGACACACGGTTATTGGCTGTTGTCCGAGCCTCTTCCAGCTCTTCAATCTGTGCATGCAGAATCTAAAGCAGAAAATAAAAACAGACGTCTTGAAGAGTGATCAGATGAATTGCAAGGACATTGCTGCTTGTATGATAGCACCCCAATCAACTATTTATCCAATCATAAAGAACTTTAATGAATGATTTAGTCACAGTGAAGAAGGCTGCAGGGCATCCAAGATCTTCAAGCATCAGGAGCATCTCCTAAAGAGAATGCAGCTACGAGATCAGGTGGCAGAGGGCAGGTGTGAACGCGCAGTGAGATGAAGGCTTTTGGAGGATGGCTTGGTGCCAAGAAAAGGAAGCAAAGAAGCCACTTCTCTCCAAGAAAAACATCAAGGACAGACTGACTTCTGCAGGAAGTATAGTGATTGTACTGCAAAGGACTGAGGTGAAGTTGTTTTCTCTGATAAAGCCTCTTCAGAATGTTTGGGACATCTGGATAAATGATTGGAGAAGAAAAGATGAGCACTACCATGAGTCCTACGTCCTGCTAACAGTGAAGCAATGAGACGGTTGACGTGTGGGGTGACTTCTTATCCAGAGGAGTGGGTTCGCTCAAAACTTTGCCCAAGAACACCGACATGAATAAGGTATCAAAACATCCTCCAAGAGAAACTTCTCCCAACGATCCAGGAGCAACTTGGAGATGAACAATGGGTTTCCCAGCATGATGGAGCGCCATGTCACAAGGTAAAGAGCAGTTGTCCTCAAATGCAAGAGTTGGGGGTTCGATTCCACCAGCAGTCACATGCCGAAGTGTCCCTGGGCAAGACGCTGAACCCCTCATTGCCTCCGATGTGTCCCATCAGTGTATGAATGCGATCTAAAGCACTGATTATTCTTTGTATAGAAATAGTAGCGTGCTGTATGAATAGGTAAATGAGGGCACATATTGTAATGTAAAGAGTTTTGAGTGTCTTGGTAAGATATAAAGGTGATATACAAGTACAGTCCATTTACCATTTATATAAACATCTGATAAAAGGGTCGTAAAAAAAGTTGCCAACTATGAAAACCAAAATTTGTGCCATTCTCAAAACTTTTGGCCACAACTGAAAATAGACATTAAGGAGAAGGGAAAAAAAAAAACCTTGATTGAGGTAAACATTTACAATAAGAAAATAATCAACACGTTTTTTTCCTCCTTTTATATTTTCTGAATTGACAATTTGTAAATTTATGAGGAAAATGAAACAAATGAGAAAATATTTGACATATTTATTGGTAAATTCAGGCAAATTTTGCTCATAAACTTTAATTAGCTGTAACTTTTTGTTAAAATGAATAAATTGTTACGTTGCAAATGCATTTTTCTTTTTAGAAAGGAGTGCGTAAAGAATCCAACCAAAACAGGTTGGTGAAATAAACAACTGCCAGTTATGTAGTAGAATTAGTTTCTGACGTAGAAATTATGGCACCTTTAAACACTTGTTGATTTAAACGTGTTTGACTGCTTTGAAAATAAAAATGATTAAACTTTGCTAAACAATGGCAGGTTGTTAACAGCTGGGAGTCTCGTCAGTTTTTCTTTGCCTCATCAGTAACAAACATTAAAGTTGCTACCATTTTTTCTAATGTGCACCTAATAAACTCAGATAAAGACATTTATTTGCATATTTGTAAAATAACCCCCCCACACACACACACACACCTTATTTAACTTTCACTATTAATACCTTCAAAATGTCAGTACAATCTGAGAATGAGCCCTTATTTTCTGTAGGTGGCAGACTTGCCTTGATGTTTCCCTCTGCTTGATGCAGCTGCAGAACCAGTTTGTGGTTGTCCTCCAGCAGGGAAACTTCTGTTTTCAGAGAAGCTCCTTCCAGTGCCTGCAGCAGAGTGGCATTTTTGCTTCTCTCTTCTCTGAGCTGAGTTTCACTTTGAACATCCAGCTGCTTTAGTTCATCCAAAACCCTGTTGTACTCATTCACGACGAGCTGCATGGAGGCATGTAGAAAGAAATCAGTCAAACAATTTTGCAGTAAATCTGGATAAAAAAAAGGTTCTTACATACGAACTGAATGAGATTTAATTCAGTCGGTTTTTGTCCACAATTGGGAAATACAGTAGTCTTTTGCTACTTCGTCTTTTGCGGACTTGCTCTGTCATGATTTTTCAAAGACTGAACACGAGAAAAAATAAAATAAAATTGTACAGGACACGATTGTCAACTTTAATAGTACTCACATGATTTGGACAGTACTGGATACAGCACAGTAAAAAGCCAACGAAAAACTAATATACTTTGGACAGATGCCGCCATCTTTTCTCTCAATAAGCCTACACTGTATACCCACTCATAACGACTACATTTCACAGAAGCACACAGGGCCCCGCCTTTAAGCCTCATTTCCTTCTGCTGAAATACTAGAGGGAAAGTTTTGATCTGATCAGAAAAACGTTTGACGCTTATTACAGTGACTTCAGCGCCCAATGGATCCAGAGAGCCGCACGGAACCCACTGAACGGGACCAGAACCAGACCTCCAGACAGACCGTGAATCTTGAGCGATTGTAGCCGGCCCACGAGGACCTCTGAGTAAGGTCGCGCAGGCAAGTAAAATGTAGTAGCTACATATAAGTACGTTGTTAAAATTAATAGGTTTAAGAGTTCAGAACATTGATTGTGGGCTTCGTAGCTGCAGGGTAAGTAAGTCTGCAGAAAAGGAACTGTCAGACCGGAACCGAGCCGCTGTGTTGTTCTGTCTAGCTGGTGAGTAAAATTTAGTAGCTACATATACGGTTCTGTACGTAGGTTGTTAAAATGATGTAGGTTTAAGAGTTTACAACATTACAAGAGCATGGGAAGGGTTTCTAAAGCCTTAAAATTTATACAGTAGTCCCTCATTGATCATGGGGGATCCGTACCCTGAAGTCCCGAGATAAGTGAAAAACCACCACGAAGTAGGAATAGTAGTACAAGTAGTAAGCAATAGTTTATTTTAGTGTAATTAGTGTATAAACAGGTTTTAAACCCTTCCCACACTCTTGCAATATTATAAACAATGTTTCTAAACTCTCTAAAATTGCACATATAGTCATGATTTCGGTTCTCTGCCTCCTCTGCTCTTTGCCACTTACAAGAACTCTTGGCCACGCCCACTTCTCCGCTCTGCACGGAAATCAGTTGATTAGCTGCAGGAGGAAGCCTTTTCTGCAGCTCTGGGCTGCACAAAGGTGCAGGAGGTGCTAAATAATTCAAAATAATTTATTTTAAATAAAAATTCCATGCCGATTGTGAGGCTCATCCAATCTTATTTGGAAAAAACGCAATAGAGCGAGTCCATGATAAATGAACCGTAAAGTAGCGAGGGACTATTGTATATAAATACTAAAATAAATATAACATCGCTACTTTGCAGATTTTCACTTATTGTCAGGGGGTTTGGAACCCAACACCCGCTATAAACGAGGGACTACCATATTCTATCTAAACCAGTATCCTTCTTCAAAGAGGTTGACAGAAAAGTCCCTGTTGAAAGCCCACCTGTCGTGACGTAGTGCTGGTTTGGGCAGTTGTGGACCTGCGATCCAACTCTTTGCTCAGAATACTGTCCAGCACGCTCAAGCTGAAGGGCTGACTGTGGATGGCTCTCTCTATTTGATCCTTAACCTTCTCCCGCTCACAGATCTCTGCATTTTCCTTAAGGCAACAAGAAGCCTTGATGTCCCAGAACTTGTCCGAAATGCTGTCCATTTTCTACAAATAAAACATTTGTTAACAAAAATGCACAACAGTAATGATTGATAAATTGCTGTTTAGTCAAAAATGGGATCCAATAACAAAATCTGCAGCCTACAGGTTTACCAAACACACCTCACGATGAAGTTAAAATAAGTAAAACTAGAGCTTGAGACGACGTTTTGAAGGCGGCAATGCTTACCTGCACGTAAAGCTGACGTTTTTCCAGCAGCTTAGAGAATCTTTGTTCCCACAGTGAGTGGAAATCAATATCATTGACAGAGTACGTGGGGGCATGCGCTCTGGACACAAGCAGATCCTGCAGCCGCCTTTCCTCAAAAATGGCCAAATCTTTGTTCACCAACTCCTTAAACATTTTTCTGCAGCAAAGTGCTTGCAGATGGAGCTCTTCCTAAGGAAGCAAAGCACAAGACAAGTTCATGAATGGTTAAAAAAACACATTCACAACGTTTGGCATGGAAGCTTTATTATTTTGTACCTGAATTGTTAGGAAATTCTGCACAGTTTTCAGTCCCAGCTCATATACGGCACTGTGGACCTTTACTGTGGCTTTTGGCAGAGTCTTCACCAAAGAGGGCTTCAAATAACTGTGCGTTATGAGAAGATTGTGCAGGTGTAGAGCGCTAGACCCAGAATAAGTATCTATAAAATCCTGCAGCGTTTCAAACGACTCCTGAAACGATGAGAGTTCATTAGTGTCAGAAGCACAGTCCAATCAGAAAAGACTCGTCCCTTTCATCTGACTGTAGATGAGAGTTTGCGCTAAATAGTTTACCTGGAGTTGAGAAGCAGAGTCTTGCAGCTGTGAGGACACGGACTCCTCGCCTTGTTTTGTGTGCTGGTCTGAAGTGTTCAGCTCTTGTTTCAGGGTGGAGATGGTCAATTTAGATTCATTTAGCAACTTAAAAAAAAAAGAAAGAAGTAAAACTTGTATTATGTCACTGGTCAATAAGAATACAATCTTGTACATTATATTGTGGAAACATGTTGTTTCAGGACCCTTTACCCAGTTTCAGTGCTTGACTGAAGATGCTGCTTATTCAGTCACAGTGCAGCTTTTTAAGGTTTAATAGTGTGAATGTTCATGAAGCATTAACACTATCGTGATCCAATTGTCTTCCGTACGTTTTTCAGCATCTTTCTCGTTCCACAATTTTGGTGCCATTTCAACAAATCATATCAAAATGTTCAGCTCTTTCAGGGCAATCCTGCTATGACTTGGTATTGGTGCAACTTTGGCTTTTTAAAATATTTAGCCTTGTCTCCACTTTTTTTCTCATAGAAAATGAATGGAGCTCATTTTACATCCTTCACATCTTTAGATCTGTTTACAACCTTTAACTGCTCCTTTCACGTTTTGTTCACGCTCAGCTTGTGCAATTTTTTTTTCAGGTACTTTCAGCTGTTTTGTGCTCCTTTCAGATTCCTTCTGCCAACTACAGCATTTTTGTGCTTCTTCCAACTTCCTTCTGCTAATTTCAGCTTGTCATGCACCTTTCAGCTTTTTTCTGCTATTTCAGCTACTATTCAAGTTTTTATGCTAATTTTAACTTTTTCAGCTAATTACACATTTTTTGCATTCATTTCAACTTTGTCCAGCCTAATTCAGCAAAAAATGTGTTATCTCCACTTCCTTCTGGTAATTTCAGATTCTTTCTGCATTTTTAGCTACTTTTTAGCTCTTTTTTGTTTGTTTGTTGCAAAGTTCAGCTTTTTTCAGAGAATTCCCACTTTTTTGTGCTAATTTCTGCTTCTTTCAGCCTAATTGGGCAAACATGTTCTTTCTGCTTTCATTTGATAATTTAAGATTGTTCTACCTTATCAGCTAGCTTTTTAGCATTTTCTAGCTAATTTTGACTTCTTTCAGATAAATTCCGAGGTTTTGTTGTAATTTCTGCTACTTTCAGCCTAATTAACATCTACTAATTTCAGTTCGTTATGCTCCTTTCAGCTTAATTATGCTAGATTCAGCTTTTTCCTGCTATTTCAGCTACTATTTAGCCATTTTCTGCAAATTTTAGCTTTTTCAGAAAATACATTTTTTTTAGCTCATTTCGGCTGTTTCTGCTTTCTTTTGCTAATTTAGGCTTGCTCTTCCATTTCAGCTATAATTCCTCATGTCTTTAGCTAATTTCAGCTGTTTCTCAGCAAGTTTTTCAGCAATAAGCGTTCACGTTGCATTTTTGTAGGCAATCTAGTTACAACTCCCAAAATATTTGAAGTTACAAGCAACAAGAAGAAAACGGAGCAAATTTGCCACATTCTAAAAACTAATGAACAACCAAACTCTTCCTTGCAGAAACAATCAGTAAGTTGCACCAGGCTGTATTGAGACTAACCTGTATAAAATACAGTAAAGGTTGAATGAACATTAGATACAGGTTATAATAAGAAAAAAGTAAAACAATCGACAAACCTGCAGACTGGCATTAGCTTCAGTCTTCTGTTCCATTTTTATTTGCAGCTGCTCTTTGAGCTGCTGCACCTGATGCAGGAACAGAGAAGGACTGTTAACAGCAGCGAAGTAAAGAAGATGTGAAAACGTTAAACGCAAACTTGATTCTGCAACTTTATAAAGTTTAAACCAAACAGACAAGGAAGCTGGGAAAAAACAAGATATTTGGACAAGCATTCAGTATTTGTGTCACTGAAAAACAACTGGATTCAAGACTTGTATTTAAAACTAAACTAGGTAAATTATTCTGAAATGTTTTTACTTTCAAGCTTAAAGATTTAAGATTCAAGGTGAATTTATTGTCATTTAAATCACATGTAGTACAAGATGTGGAATGAAACAGTGACCTCAAGGTACCAGCTACACCCAAAAACAGTAAAATTATAGTAAATAATAGATAAATTATAGTAAAATTTATAAACTATAAAAAGAAACCATATACAAGGGTCCAAGATATACATTAAATAATAATACAATTAGGTGTATTATAATAATTTACTTGTAGTCATTTAAAAAACAAATAAATCAGAATTTATTTGAAAAGTCATTAAACCTGATTTAACTTCAGCTCTGCTTCTTTTCATCGCTCCTCTTTCAGAGCATTCTCGAAGTGAAAGTGTCCATCAATCACAATATTAGATTATACATCAGTTAATCCTCACATAATAATAAAGTCTTATGAAAATGATTTTGTTGTGTCACTTGTTACTAAAGTAATGAAGGCCAATTATTCAGATGTGCTGTAAATGATCTGAACCTACTTCATGTTGCAGTGTGGCTTCTTGTTCTTCTCTCTCAGTTTGCAGCTGCACATTCCACTGCTCCTGCTGGTTCAGTTTCTCCTGAGTGGCTGAGATCTGTAATTAGATTCACAAATTTAATTAAAGTTCCTTTTTTAAAATATCATTTTTAAGTTTGATTTAAAGCTCATTTGAGCTGCTCTTTAGATAATCTGCATTTTTTTTGTAAATGTGTACCTTTTCTCTCCTGTCCTCCAGCTCAGCTCTGAGCTGCTTCTCCTGCTCTCTTCGTGCCTCCAGAGCCTCCTGCAGCTGATCTCTCTCCTCATTGAGTGACAACACTCTGCGCTGCAGCGTCTCCATCTCCTCGGTGTGGGCCTGACTGCTGGCTTCCTTCTCAGACATCAGAGCATCTCTCTCTGCTTCAGCACACTTTAACTTTTGCACCAAATCTCCAATCTGTAAATAAGGAATAAATACTCGTTTACTTTCTGCTGTCTACTGAAAATCACTTTCATTGAGAATCAGTTACTGGTATTGACTTGTGAAAGTCTGCTTATGTAATTACCATATCTACTGGTGTATAAGCCACTACTTTCTCTCTCCTGAAGTGAGTTATATTTGGCTTGGAGTTTGACCACTTTTTCTTGTGAATGTGAAATTTTCCCAGAAGAAGAAATCCAACCTTAGACCCAATGAGGTACTCTCGAGGACCATTCCCCAAGATAGACCTGCATTAATTTCTTTAGATCAGTTTCCGTATTTTGCGCCTCATGCACAGAACTGTTCATCTGCAGCGATAATGGAAAATGCAGAGAGAATTTCTTATGATGCAGCTTTCAAGTTAAAAGTGATCGATCTGGCTGTTGAAGAAGGAAACGGCTGCCGAGAGCGAGGCGGTGAGTGATGACGTTTTTACTGAGCCTCTTAAATTCTGACTCCGAACAAGACTTTAGTGCTCAGGAGGACGAAGAATATAGTGATGAGTGACTTTTTCAAGTAACAGTTTTTTTTTTTTGGAGCCATGTTTAAGGCATTTTTCAGGAAAAAAAAAAAAAACATTTACTGGCTGTTCCCTCCTCCTGGGTCACATGAGCTCCGCTGAGCAGAAGTCATCAACATTTATTGTTAAAGCAGTCAACTCTGTTGCATATTTTAACAAACGTTTTACAATTCTTTCTGTGCGACATCTTTCCGTGTACGGTAAACGTGTTTTTTTCCCCCTCATGTGGGCTCCGCTGAACAGAAATCACGTCAAATTTATTTAGAAAGTAAATTTTAAAACAGCAGCTGTTACCAAAAAGTGTTTAACTATAAAAATCAATGGTACAAATTTAATGAATATTTACCGTATTCTACCGGTACTATGCAACTCCCGGTCACATGACCTCGATAAGACTTCTGGGTAATATTTACTGGTATTTTTTTTTAATATATAATTTTGGTTACATAAGTGTTTGGCACTGTTGTGTCCAGTGATTATGCTTAGATATTTCTTGTGTTCATTTTGTAGGTTTAATGGCTTTAACCATGAGTCAGACAGCGAAGAATCATGAAGACTTCTGACGATCATGCAGTCTGCGTTTGTATTTTGAAAGTGACCCATAGTCTGTGAAATGCCATCCGGTGGCTGAATCTTATACAAGAAAAACCTGCACATACAGCTGCTGGAGACGGGCACAGATTTTGGATAATGAATGGTGGATGGATGCTCGCAGCTTAGTAACCGGAGTGTCTCATTTATGCACAAAATTACGATTTATGTGCGTCTTAGAGACATGTGTGTTTTATAACATGAGAATTACAGTACTTTCAACCTTAAATATTTACTTTTAGTCAAAAATCAAATTTATCTGAAAAGTAGCAAAACCTGATTTAACCTCAGCTGTGCTTCTTTTCAACGCTGCTCTTTCAGAGGACTCTCGTAATAAATGTGTCCATCAATCAATATATTAGATCATATATTATATTAGTTAATACTTACATAATAATATAATCTTATGAAAATGATTTTGTTCTGTCAATTGTTACTGAAACCAAAACAGATTTTTTTTTTAATTATTCAGATGTGCTGTAAATAATCTGAACCTACTTCATGTTGCAGTGTGGCTTCTTGTTCTTCTCTCTCAGTTTGCAGCTGCAAGTTCCACTGCTCCTGCTGGTTCAGTTTCTCCTGAGTGGCTGAGATCTGTAGATTCACAAATTTAATTAAAGTTCCTTTTTTATTTTTATTTTTTATAAACCATTTTGAGGTTTGCTTTAAAGCCCATTTGAGTTGTACTTTTTAGATAATCAGTGATTTTGTTTTTGTAAATATGTACCATCCGTCTCCTGTCCTCCAGCTCAGCTCTGAGCTGCTTCTCCTGCTCTCTTCGTGCCTCCAGAGCCTCCTGCAGCTGATCTCTCTCCTCATTGAGTGACAACACTCTGCGCTGCAGCGTCTCCATCTCCTTGGTGTGGGCCTGACTGCTGGCTTCCTTCTCAGACATCAGAGCATCTCTCTCTGATTCAGCACATTTTAACTTTTGCACCAAATCTCCAATCTGTAAAGAAGGAACACTCGTTTATTTTCTGCTGTCTATGTTCTCTCCGTGCATGCGTGGGTTTTCTCCGGGTGCTCCGGTTTCCTCCCACAGACTAAAAACATGCATGTTAGGCTGATTGGTAACTCTAAATTGTCCCTAGGTGTGAGTGAGAAAGTGAATGGTTGTTTGTCTTGTTTGTCTCTATGTGTTCCTATGATGGACTTGCGACCCGTCCAGGGCGTACCCCGCCCCTCGCACAGTGATTGCTGGACATGGGCACCGGCGACCCCCGTGACCCAAAATGGAATAAGCGGGTAAAGATAATGGATGGATTTCTGCTGTCTACTGAAAATCACTTTTATTGAGAATCAGTTATCAGATATTTCTAAAGTTTTATGAAAATGATTTTGTACTGTCACTTGTTACTGAAGTAATGAAGGCCAATTATTCAGATGTGCTGTAAATAATCTGAACCTACTTCATGTTGCAGTGTGGCTTCTTGTTCTTCTCTCTCAGTTTGCAGCTGCATATTCCACTGCTCCTGCTGGTTCAGTTTCTCCTGAGTGGCTGAGATCTGTAATTAGATTCACAAATGTAATTAAAGTACTTAAAAAATAATAATAATAATTTTAGGTTAGCTTTAAAGCCCATTTGAGCTGCACTTTTTAGATAATGAGTGATTTTTGTTTTTGTAAAGATGTACCATCTGTCTTCTGTCCTCCAGCTCTGCTCTGAGCTGCTTCTCCTGCTCGCTCAGTCCACCCAGAGCCTCCTGCAGCTGATCCCTGTCCTCCCTGAGAGACGCCACTCTGCGCTGCAGCGTCTCCATCTCCTCTGTGTGGGCCTGACTGCTGGTTTCCTTCTCAGACAGCAGACTGGCTCCATCTGCTCTCACAGACTCCAGCTCTTCAGTCAGTATCTGAATTTAATAGAGATGAAATCACAAACAATGAAAAAAAAAATGCATTTAAAGTAGATATATATATTAAAAAAGGTATTCTACTTTCATGGTGATTAAAAATGCTCTGTACGAGTCCATATCACAAGCTCAAATGTGACTACTGTCACCATTTGTATTTTTTTTATGCAAAAATATTTAGTCTTGCCTGGATTTTGGACTTAAGAGACTGAATGCATCTCTCTTGCTCATTCCTGCTGCTCTGGATGTTTTCCAGTTCAGCCAGCCTACTCTCCAGTGCTGCAAGTTCTTCTTGGAATACTCTACTCTTCTCATGAGATGAATTCAGTTCCTCCTGTTTCTCTGTCATCTGAAACACATTACCAGCAACTATTCATGCAAACCATCACCTTACAATAACAATAATAAAAATAAAAAAAACATTTTAAATAACATGCTTATAAGGGTGGTAAAAGTTAATACTGTAAAACAATATTTAGTTCCTAAAACTTAAAGCAAAAAAGGGAGATAAATCTCACCAGCTTGACATTTTCTTGAAGGTCAAACTTTAACTGGCTAATCTCCTCTTTGGCTTTCTCCAACATCTCTTGAAGCTGTTCAATCTGGAGCACGGAGCAGAGTAAACAAATTAATGGCAATAACCTTGTTTCAAGGAAAGGGGGAAACAATGAGACTGAAATGAACCCAATAAGAAGGAATATAAAGAGTTTGTGACTGAACCTGCAGTGGATATGCTGCTTCTTCATCCATCAACGGCTGTGGTTTAGATATGAGCTGCTGCTGGAACTCGCATTGCATCTATGAAAGAAAAACAGAGAACTGCTTCAAGTCTGTAACACACAAGATGCTTACCACAGCCCTTACACTGTTATCCTTTAGGACTTACAAAATATATTAGAATATAAATAAGATTAGGAATGAGATCATCAGAGGTACAGTACAGGTTGAAGGACTGGGAGATAAAGTTAGAGAGGCCAGACTGAGATGGTTTGGACATGTCCAGAGGAGGGACAGTGGGTATATTGGTAGAAGGATGTTAACAATACAGCTGCCAGGAAAAAGACAAAGAGGAGATATACTGATGCAGTTAGAGAGGACATGGAGATAATTGGAGTGAGGACAGAGTGAGATGGAGGATGACTCGCTGTGGCAACTCCTGAAGAGGGAAAAGTCAAAAGATGATACATTTATATATTAAAATTATATGTTTATTTTATAAATTATAAAAACATATTCATTTTTAAAATATAACATGAGGATTTAACCACTTCCCAGTATTTTAAAAGGATCTCATATTTTAGGATCTTCCTTTAGATTCAAAACAAGGAGTTTTGATCAAAGCCACCCTGAATCTTCATCCTGCTAACATTAACGTGATCTTTTTAGCTTTACAGGCTAGTTTACTAAACTAAAATCCAGTAATCCCATATCAGAGAAGAAAGCTAGTCTTGACCCAACCATGTCAAATTATCCTGCAAATTAACTGCATTTTAACATTAATGATCAAAACTGGATAATGACAGAGTTTGAGTGTGGCATTTGTAAACAAGTTATTTCTGTTGTAAAATTAAAGTCATCAGATTTTCAGAGCTGCTGTAAAGAAAAAAGGCATAAAGAACCACTCCGTTCATCCTCATCGGATTATCAACTATGGAATCATACACCAGTTCATACTGGGGGTTTTACCATCTGCATCCTGTCCTCCAGCTCTTCTCTGAGCTGCTTCTTCTCCTCTCTTTGTCTGTCCAGGGTCTCCTGCAGCTGATCCCTCTGCTCACTAAGAGACATCACTCTGCACCGCAGCTTCTCCAACTGCTCTGTTTGGGACGGACCATTTTCTTTCTTCTCGAGAATCAGAGCATCTCTTTCTGCTAGCGTATTTGAATGCTCCTCGGTCAGAGTCATAATCTGTTTCAAAGAGACTTTGCAGTTAAAACTTCAAATATTAAAACTGGGAATTCAATGTTAAATTTTTTTTTTAATGAAAATACCTGTTGCTTAAAATCTGCTTCTTTCTGCTCGTACAGGTTTAATAGGTCCAACTTTGTCTGGAACTCATCCCGGAGAGACTGCAGACAGCATTTGGCCTCTGCAAGCTATAAATGACAAAACAGCCTAGATTACCTCTGGAAAGGTTAACACACATTTTTAGTAGATCAAAATGGATGAAAAAAAATATATATATTGTTCTTGTTTTGCTTGATATTCTTGAATATTCTTTGCATGTCACAATTTTTTCCTTTTTGTTGTTGGAGCTCATCTCGAAGTGAACAGAATTAGGTTCGAGTGGACCAAAATGATCACAATCCATCCATTTTCTTTACCCGATTCTTCCTTTTGGTGGGGTACATACTGGACAGGGACACACAGAGACAAACGAGACAAACAACCATTCACTCTCTCACTCACACCTAGGGACAATTTAGAGTTACCAATCAGCCAAACATGCATGTTTTTGTTCTGCGTGAGGAAACCGGAGTACGTGGAGAAAACCCATGTATGCACAGAGAGAACATGCAAACTCCACACAGAAAGGCCCCTGGACCAGGATTTGACCCAGCAACATGCTCACTGAGAGGCGGCAGCTGGTCACAATCCAATATGAAGAAATATTAAAAACAGGCAACCTGTAAACTGCTGCTGCTCCATAGTTCTTTACCATTTTTCCAACTAAGTCAGTCCACGTCCATGTTTAGAGGTTAGGTTGAAAATTGATCTTTGGCACGAAAGACTGAGAACACTTCAATCTCAAAAAAGAGAAAACATATCCTGGCAGAGCATTGTGTTGGAACACTGAGCCTGTATATTTAGATTGTGTTCAAATGCCATGCAATGAAACCCTCTGAGTAGATACCCGTCTATGAGGTTGTGTCGTTTCGTTACGTAGCTGAAAGTAGATGCTATGATGAGCGTTTCTCCTCTTGAAGCCTTTTAAATGAAAACTACATAAAAAAAATCTGTAAAACTGGAGAAAAAAAAAACAAAAAAAAACCCAACAAAAAAAAAAACACTTACTTTATAAAAAGGTGACAAATTTAATACAAATAAAACTGTGTGTCATGCAATCTCTAATGCGTAGATTTAGTACGAAAAACATGGTTGCCATGTATTTCAACAATAGTTTGTAAAAAAAAAAAAATAACTTGACTGATAAGTTGCTGTTCCATTAAGAAATCCTGACAGTAGTTTTAGTCAATGGTGCTCAGGCTCAGACTGATTTTAGGAATACAGTAGATCCCATTTTATGGTGAACTGAGGTTTTCTCGCAGCAGGACAGATTATGTTTTCAGCATGTTTTGTTCAACCAGTTTAATTTGGTCTGAACATACAAACAGTATGGAACATCACCGGTCCTACTAAACATAGTTACCTCTTGCTGAAGTTGTGTTAGAGTTCCATCCTCTGCCTGAAGCTCTCGGGTCACCATTACTGCTCGCTCAATTTGGGTTTGAGCCAACTGTACAAAAGTTGTTCAAAGAACAAAACGTTATTTTCTCTTTATGGACCAGCTAGAATTTAAATAAATAATAAAAAAATAAAATAAAATAAAAAATTTAAGTCGTCAAAAATACCCAGAAACTAACCTTCTGTATCCTGTCGTCCAGCTCAGCTCTGAGCTGCTTCTCCTGCTCTCTCAGTGCCTCCAGAGCCTCCTGCAGCTGATCTCTCTCCTCCATGAGAGACGTCACTCTGTGCTGCAGCTCCTCCATCTCCTTTGTGTTGGTCTGACTGCTGGCTTCCTTCTCAGACAGCAGAGCATCTCTCTCTGCTCGCAGATTCTCAAGCTCCCCATTCAGTGTTCTCATCTGTCAGGTAATTAAATCCAACTTACTGTAAGGCTTCAACATGCAGCACTGGCACACATGTTAATCCTCTATATCAGGGCTAGTCAACTGGCAGCCCAGGGACCAAATCAGGCCCACGGGTGAACTCCATTCAGCTCACCTGTGGGTTCATTCTTAAATAAAACTAGATTTTCAATCATAAATCAAACTTTCTTCTTGGCTTTCAGTAACTGTGCCCCCTGAGCAATTTAGTTGAATAGCCCTGCTCTATATTTTAACCAAGATAGTAGGATGTTGAAATTTATGTTTCATGATTGTCAAACCCTTTTCCAAATGGCTTTCACAATTCCTAATGGGGATTTCACAAGGTGCTTGTGCCAAAGCCTAGTGTTAGGACAGGTGTTTTAAATAATCTAACAAAATTGTGGCTTTCTAATTTTATCACATTTAGTAAATGTACTTATTTCAGCTTTTTATAAATTATAACTGTCAGTTTTGTTAGAAACATCTTACAACACCATTCTTCCAAAATGTTCCCATCTCAGTAAAATGGTCCTGAAACACACATCACTGGCATACTCAAAAGTTAAAGCTCTACTTGTTTGGGTTGTTCATCTTCTGGCAGAAGCTCAGAAAAAGTACAGACTGCAGTCGACTGGTGTTCACTCACGAGTTCACACACCTGCAGGAGTACTCAGAAAACCCTCCTCTCAGACCTGGATTTGGAAACATTCGGTTTAAAAGAACAAGCGTTGTTGCTGTGTACACGAATGGCTGAACTGCAGCAATGAAGCTATAATTCCACTCAAAACATCCATCCATCCATCCATCCATTATCTTTACCCGTTTCTTCCTTTTCGGGTCACGGGAGTCACTGATGCCCATATCTAGCAGTCACAGGGGACACCTTGGACGAGTCACAAGTCCATCACAGGGACAAACAATTATTAATTCTAGCGCTCACACCTAAGGACAATTTAGAGTTACCAATCAGCCTAACATGCTTGTTTTTGGTCTGTGGGAGGAAACCAGAGTACTCTGAGAAAACCCACACATGCAAACTCCACCCAGGAAGGCCCCCAGACCAGGATTTGACCCGGCAACATGCTCACTGAGAGGCTGCAGCTCTACAAACTGTTCTACTGTGCTGCCCAACTAAAAAAAAACTGTGTCATGTAAACTAGGCCCTAGTTTTTCATCAGTATGGAACATGTGCGCTCCACAAAAACAACTTGCGATGTCAGCTGGGCTTATATGAAGCTGCAACCAGGCTGTCAGTCCTTTAGGGGGCATCCAACAACATGATCTGTATAAAGCCTAATTTCAAGGTAAATGGGTATTATAGTTGTTGTATGAATAAGAACATGGAAGACTTCTTGTAACAAAAGAAAACGTCTTACATTTTCCTGGAGCTCCTCAAGCTGTGAACTAAGGACATTTGGATGTTCATTTAATCTCCGTTCGTTTTCAGACTCCATGAGTTTGATTGTCTTTTTCTGCTCCCGATTTCTTTCTAGGGCTGTCCTCAACTCATCTTGATGTTCAATCATCTGTTAGACAAACATTTATGTTAGCAGCCACAAAGACAGCTAACATCACCAGCAGACTGCGCATCAACTGACCATCTCAACATTTTCCTGTAGGTCCACTTTGAGCTGGTCTCTTTCTGCTGTGAGAGAATCCACCACAGAAAGAAGCCTCTCCACCTCCTGTGCAGAGCTCCCAGCGCTGCTTGTTTGCAGAGGCACTTTCTCATCCTGCACAGCCTGAAGCTCCTGTAACAGCTTGAAATTTTCTTCAAGGTCAGACTTTAACTGGCTTATCTCCTCTTTGGCTTTCTTCAACTTCTCCTCCAGCTGCTCAGTCTGTAGCAGAGAAAAGATGCACAAATAAAAAGCAATGATCTCGTTTCAAAGTAACAAATAAAAAAAAAAAAAAAATGCAGTGTGAAAGCATATGGCTGAAGAACTTGCTGGAAAACAGCTGAAATTATCTAAAAAAAGACATGCTGAAATGTAGCTGAAATGAAGAACAAGCTTAAGTTACCATAAGAAAGCAGGAAACACATTTGCAGAATTAGGTTTAAATAAACAGAAAGTACGACAAAAATTAAGAAATTAGCTAAAATAATTGGTGAAAAGTAGCTAAAGAGGCAGAAAGAAGCTTAAATCTACCAAAAGGAAGTGGAATGAAATGAGCTAAAAATGTGGAATTAGCTGAAAATGCTAAATTTAACACAAAAACAGCTAAAAGGTAGCTGAAAAGCAGAAACTAGCAGAAACAAGCTGAAAGGAGCATAACAAGCTGAAATTAGCAGAAAGAAATTAATAACTAGTAAAAAAAAAAAAAACAATAAAAAAAAAAAAAAACAGCTGGAAAATAGGTAAAAAGCAGAAACAAGCTTAAAATAACAAAAGGGAAGTGGAGAGAGAGCACTTTTGCTGAATTTATTAGACTTTTTTTTTTAATTACTGCAAAAAATGTGGAATTAGATGAAAAAACTAAAACGTGCCGAAAAACAGCTAAATAGTAGCAGAAAAACAGCATTTTTCAGAAATAAGCTGAAAAGAGCCGAGGCTGGAATTAGCAGAAAGCAGAAGAAGCACAGAAAATGTTGTAGTTAGCAGAAAGAATCTGAAAGGAGCACAAAACAGCTGAAATTAGCTGAAAGAGTTTAAATTTGCACAAGGAAGCTGCAAGAAGCTGAACCAGAACAAACTGTGAAAAGAGCAGTAAAAAGTTGTAAACAGATCTAAAGATTTGAAGTAGGGATACACGATATTATCGGCCGATATTAGAGTTAAAGTTCAATATCGGCCATTCCATCAAAATAACTCACTGATATAAAAGGCGCTGACAACCAGTGACAAGGATGCCTGTAGCGGCAGCACAATGTGATGACGTCACGCACGCCTACCTGATCTCACAGCAGAGAGGAAAATTCAAAATGTCGGTGGTGTGGAAGTTTTTATTTCCGTTGGTGCGGATGTCGGATTCCAAAGATTTTTGGACTATGTTGAGCCTCGCTACATAGTCCGCAGTTGGAGATATTTTTCCAACGTAACATTACCCGAGTTACAAGTTGTCATTTCTGACATTGAGAAGCTAATAGTCGATAGCACTTGGGTGAGTTTTACCACAGATATTTGGACGTTGTGTTAACCCCGTTAGCACGATTAAGCCTCCAGTATACTCGCGCGTACAGGATTGGAGTCAAAGCACACGCCCGCGGGGCAACCGTGTATGCGTACTCTGTGTCGCACAATAAACTGCCTGGCGATGGACTGTTTGTATGAGACACCAATGTATTAAATTTCCCTTCTTCATCCCTGATCTGGTTTAATAACCTTTTTAGTTTTTTTTCCCCAAGAGGCAAGCGATCTCGTCCTCCTCCGTTGACGCCATGACAAATGATGAGAAATGAAGGAATTTGTCACGAGCGAATTAAAATCAGGCGCATGCAGCGTGGCTGCAGGAGGGTTTGGATATTTCTTAGTAGGCTGGTCTGATGTGTGGACTGCAGGGCAAGTGTTCTGTTTTTTTAATTTTTTTAGAACTTTTTATTAACAATGTAGATGAACAGATGCTCAGATATATTCATCATTTAACACGGATTCCTCATTTTTCTGGACTGAATAAAACGTGCATTGAATTTAAGGAAATGCAAACGTGAGACGTCATTTATATTTGACCCATCAAAATGAATGCGGTCATTTATTTACAGAATCAAAATTTAACATCAAACATTTACATTAATTTGGCAAATTATGAAAATAACAACATAAGCAATCAATCAGGAAAAATCATACGGCCATGATTTTTCCGTTGCTTCACCACAGCGATGTTATGAAAACTGTACAATTATGATCTTTTACCCACATGAACATTTACATCTCCTATTTAATTTCTAAATAGCAGATAATGGCGGACGAAGATGAAAACACTGACCCCTTACAATCCGGAGATGCTGTCCAGACAGCGTTACACATTTTAACAAATTCAATTGTTGGTAACCAATTAGAGAAATTGCTAGACCTTGATGACGATCAAAGATATGAGGAGCTGCAGACGTTGTCAAAAGCAGCTAAAGTGAAGGAGGACACGAAATCCAGCCGTGAACGGTTGGCAAAGATTGCTCTGCTTCTGAAGGCGGAACTGGACCGTATGGTTGAACGAAATACCTTGCTGTTCAACGGATATGAGTCTAAAAAGGAGAGGTGTGACGAATTGTTGAATGCATCTGAGTTGCTGAAACAACAAATTCAGACTGATAGGGACCTCTCAAAGACTGAGCTGTCAGAACAGGCTCAATCATATGAGGAGAGGATTAGGGCTAAGGAGCAGGTGTACGAAGCCGCGTGTGCAGATAACAATATGTTACAAGCACAGTTGCAGGTGGCATTAAAGGAACGGGACGATTGCAAAGCAGACAAGGAGATAATACTCAGAAATTGGCTGAAATTACAAAGTGAAAATCAGTCAATACAGGCGCGCCTAACAGCTTGTGAGGAGAGGCTTGCTACAGCTACAAACCTGATTTCTGACATGGAGCTAGCTGGTTTGAGACTCGGAAACGAACAGGGTCAGCTACAGCCACCCCAGACAGGTGCTGTTGCACCTCCTCACCTTAACGCCATGCGGCCACCCCCAACCCCATCTCGGGCGGCGGGGATGGACCTGCACCGATATCATCTCACTGAATCGGTATACACCATGCAGTCATCTCCATCCCCACCACGGGTGGTAGGGACAGACCTGCACCCACTTGCACCTCTTCCTCCTGACACCATGCAGTACTCTCCACCCCCATCTCGGAGGGTGGGGACAGACCTGCACCAATATGCACCTCCTCCTACCAACCCTCATCAGCCACCCCCACCCCCACCATGGGCGGTAGGGGCAGGCCTTGACCAGTCTGCACCACCAGTCACACAAGTTAGACCATTGATACAGTCTCCTTCAATGGATGATTTGCAGAAAATCTCAAAATATGTACAACGTTTTGTTCCCGGACCCATGGGGTCAGCTGGAACAAAAGCGTATCTCAAAGATCTGGAGTTCAGATTGAGATCTTATCCTAATGCTACGACAGAGGATAAGATCAGTCTGATACGGCTCACTTCGGACAGAGAGGTGTTCACCTTCATCGAGCGTCTACCTGATGCAACGAAGAGGGATTACAACCTTCTGTGTGAAGCTTTGATCAGAGAGTACGACCCCTGCACGGGACCTGCTGGTTTCCCGGCTGCAGACAAGGTCACGCAGGGTAAAACTGAACATCCAAAAGTTTATTACAAAAGAATCTTCCAGGCTTATTTTGGTAACAGAAATGAGACCGGAATGGAAGAAGATGATGGTTTTAAGTTTGTTTTCAGCAAAAATCTCCACTCTGATTTTAAAAAATCAGTACAAATGATGGCAAATTTCAGAGAAAAATCCATCAATGAGATTAAGCAGTGTGCTGTGAATGTGTTTGAAGCATGTTCTCATGCTAAGACGCCCATAGAAGTGTTTCCTAGTGTAAAGGTTAAACCCCTCCCTCTTGAACTAGAAGGACGACGTGCTTCGCCGCCTCCTCCTAAGAAAGAGAGAAAACAGTCTGTTCAAGCTAACAAACCGCGTCCTGAAGGTGCACGCTGGGACAAAAAGGCTCCTCTTTCAGAGGAAGCCAGTGATTATCGAAAAATGGGTGGGCGCAGGACGCAACGATATGAGAAACCATATCGTCAGGGGCAGTACGTAAAGGAACCCCCGCAAGACGTACCTGACCGTCCCCCACCTCGGATGAAACGAACCGAGGCGAAAAAATCACAAAAGTTCCAGAAACAAGGCCCTACACCTCTGAGCTCGGAAGAGACAGAGAAACTACGCAGGTTGTTAGAAACTTTGAAACACACTGACACGGGAACCCAACCAGGAGCACTTTGCAGTAATGTAATTCCTATTACATCCGAGGGCGCGAATGACAACATAACAGATGTCGGTGAAATACACGACCAAGACATTGCTGTTGTTGCCTCAAACAACCCCTCATCGGAAGAAGGGGGGGTAAACACACACACGAACGATGACGAGTCATCGCAAGCTGAACACTCAGAAACAGCTTCTGCTGTGCTGACGGTTCAGACAAACCAAGATTACACAGATAAGGCTGAACGCGTGAAGAAGCGTCAGAAAAAACCCAAAAGGTTTCTGTGTAACTTTATCAGAAGGGGGGTCGCCAAAAAGGCGTACCTGTCAGTAACACTCGAAGGTGTCCTCACACACGAAGCACTCTTGGACGGTGGGGCAGACATAACAATTATGTCAGCTAAACTGTTCGAGGAGCTGAGGACGGCCGCTGCCAGTGTTAACAGGATAATACCTCTCTCTGAATGTGCTATAGAAATGCAGGGTCTCTCAGAAAAGAAAACAACCCTGACAGCTATAGCAATGGTTCACATGCAGATTGGCAATATGACACTGTACCACCCGGTACACGTGACCCATGTTGACTCATTCCCATTTTTGGTTGGCCAAGATTTTATAAATCGCTTCGGCGCGATTATAGATTATGGTGATCAAACAATGTGGACAACAGTGAGCAAGCCACTGCCAATCGATACGCCTCCGGAGTGTGACACAGACTGCCCAACAGCAGGTACCGCGGAAGGCACAAAGGACTCCTCAGCCGAGGACACGAGCCCGGTGAGTACTCCTCTGACACCATGTGAAACCAAAGAAACCCGAGAGGTCCAAACTCTGACTCAACAAGACAGCCTCCTCTGTGAGCTGGAGCAGTCAGAGTCCACCAAACACTACCTACCACTGGTAGTTAAGGGTGTAGAGATCCAAGGGTCCCACACCAACGATGCTGTTCTGTCTCTGTGGACAGATAAATCAGCAATTAACCGAGCTTTCTACGAAACCTTGGTTCACAAACACGTTGGTCTAGAACTAATTAAAAAAGCTTTCCGCTTTCCATTAGTTCCCACTAGTTCACAGGTAATGACCGCAGAAGGAGTCATTAACCTGAAACTGAACTGGAATCAACGAGAACTGGTTCACCCGTTTCTCGTTATCCAAAACTTACCACATGCATCCTATATAGGCTCTGACATTTTGGTAAGGCTAGGTGTCCATGTGGACACCATCAACAAGGTGCTGTGGTCCCTCAAACCAGCCACAAAGGATCCTCCTGTGCTAGACACAGCGAGCCTTAAGGCTGGGCAGACCATTCCAGAGGCCTGCCAGGTTGCTAGCAACCAAGACACCACAGTACCACCACAGGTGATTAACCTAATGGTGCGAATCCACATAATAGCTGGACAAGCTATTAGCCATAAACAGGCATATTTTCAACCCTCTCCTGCATTTTTCAACTTGGGACTGTCCGTGGAAGCCACGAACCAGGTGAGTCTTGACTCCAGAACCACATCTATTGCTGTGTGTAACACTGGCATGGATGAGGTGCTGATCCCAAAAAAGACTAGGCTAGGATGGTTGATTTCAACCGACTTTCATGATTTTGAACTAGGCATTCCATTTCTGGGAGGACTCCCAGATAACCTGGTACCGAGTCAGGAAGCTGGGCCAGTATGGTTCACGGAACCAACACAGGCCATAGCTCTTTTCTCAACCAATGACGTCGACCAAGGACCTCAAACCTATGGTGTTTCACCCATAGACAGGCCCGACGACTCAGGAAGGGATTCGTTGGAGCTCCCCAAGGAGCAAGAACCCTTATCAGTCTCATCACAGATTGATCAGGTGGTCGCACAAGCCGACGCTCTGACATCTGATGAAGAAAGAGACAAACTTCGCCAAGTTCTTTTAAAATATGAAAAGTCATTTGCAACTGATTCAACAGATTGTGGGTTGACCTCACTCCACGCAGTGAGAATCCCAACCCCACCCAACGCACCGCCAACATTTGTCAGACAATACAAGATCCCTCTGGCAGCATACAAGCCTGTCCAGGAGATCATTGATGACCTTTTGGTCAAAGGTATAATCAAACAATGTAATAGCACCTACTCTGCGCCTCTATGGCCAGTTTTAAAACCAAATGGTAAGTGGAGACTTACCATAGACTATAGGAAGCTAAATAAACAAGTACCCTTATCCAGGTGGCCAATGACTCAGCTCCATCAGGAACTGCCAAAGGTCACCGATGGTAAGTACTTCTCGACCCTCGACGTCGCCTCTGGTTTTTGGACCATCCCTGTGCGCGCCGAGGACCAACACAAACTAGCTTTCACTTTTGGCAGCCGACAATACACCTTTACCAGGTGTCCCTTTGGCTACGCTAACTCACCTGCAGAGTTCAACATCTTTTTGAACAAAGCATGTCCAGACGCCCACGAGCGTGGGACACTGATCTACGTGGACGACATCCTTTTGAGGCAGCCAACACTGGACTCTCATTTGGCTGAGATCGACCACGT